TGGCTGGGCAGCGCCAGCAGCTGACGGCACTGCCGCTGCCACTGCGACCGAGGCGCCGGCTCAGTGGACAAACCCTGGACCGACTGGGCAACCGAGGGGCCCGCCGCCACATCGCATGACTCGAGGCAGGTCTGGGCCGCGTGAAGGGTCAGGACGAAGTTCTTCTGGTACCACTCCGACTCCGCGCCCGAGTGACGTCTACCCAGCCAGCCACTGCACAGCCCTGCCGCTGCCTGGGGGCCGAAACGGTGGGAATCGTGAGATCATCGATTGTCACGGGCGTTGTCTTCGGTCTGGTCGAGAACACATTTATATATATATATATATATGTATGCATGCATGTCTGTCTGTCTGTCTGTCTGTCTGTCTGTATGGATGTATGTCTGTCTGTCTGTCTGTCTGTATGTATGTATGTATGTTTGTATGTATGTATATACTTATAACTGTAAATCTAGACGGCTTGTGTTGATCGGAAGGGCTTCGCCATCTGCCGCCGCCGCCCCTTCATATTGCTTGCATGGCCACGCTTGGTTGGCAGGTTGCTTGGCCGGCAGGCAACTCGGCTGATGGTCTTGCTGCCTCAAGTGCTAAGCGGCAATTGCTTTGGGCTGTTTGTTTGCTGGCTGGCTGGCTGTGTGCACATGCAATCAACTACCGGGGGGGCGGTGGCCTCGCGAGTGTGGTCTCGATATATATATATATATATATATATATATGTATAGTTCACGAGGCGAGGGCTCCAGGCTTCGGGAGCGCGCGCCCCTAGCTGTTTGCAGGGGTTCGTGGCTTCGAGCCCCGAGCCGAACCCCGAGGAAGCGAGGGGGGCGGGGGGAAGGGCGCAAATCGCCACCTAAACACATTCATTCCAAGGCAGAGGCGTATTTTTTCCTGCTCTGGAGAGGGGCGCTCTGTGGCGGGCCTCAGTGGGGTGGGTTCGTGGCGCCTCGGGGGCGCCAGCACGTAGTGATTTACTGGGGGTTGTGGTTCCGAAGGCGCCAGCTCGTGGTGATTGCGAAGGATCGTAGCCTCAGGGGGCGCCAGCCTGGTGTAATCTTGTGGAAGTCGATTAATGGAGAGGAAGCATGCTGTCGAATAATTTCCAGATGTCTAAATATGTTTCACATCTGTTTTACTTATGTTAAACGCATGTTTGAAACATTTTGAGAACATTTTGTTTCCAAATTTCAAGCACATCTTTAGTTCAATGATCGGATTGTTTGAGTCCCCATTGTCATGGCATCAACAAGTGTAATCTACACCAGGGGCTGTGGCCGGGGGGGCCCCGTTATGGCTTGGGGAGCCCGATTGTGGAGGGCTTTGCAAGAGATGGTGGTCTCGGGAGCGCCGGGGCGTAGCAATGTACAATGGGGCTGTGGCTTCGGGGACGCAGGCTTGTTGAAATGTACAAGGGATTGCTCCTCCTCCTCCTCCTCCTCCTCCTGGCCTCGGGAGCGCGAACCTGCTGTATTTTATCAGGGACTGTTGTATTGGGAGCGCGAGCTTGGTGTGATCTGCAAGGGGTTGTGGCCTCGGGAGCGCCAGCCAGTCGTAGGTGACTCAGGACTGTAGCCTTGTGGGCGCGAGCCTGGCGTCATTTCGAATCTACGGTGGCTTGGGGAGCGCGAGCATGGCGTACTTTAGGAGGGAGGGCGGCTCGGGGAACGCAACTCTGAAGTCATGTGCTAGGGATTGTTGCGTGGGGAGCGCGGGCACGGAGTAATTCAGGAGGCATTGCAGCTTGGGGGGCGCGAGTCTAGGGTCATGCGCGGGTTTGTGGCTTCGGCAGCGCCAGGGCGCAGTCATTTTCAAGGGGTTGTGGTTTCGGGGACGCAAGCTTGATGCCATTTGCAAGAAGGGTCTTGGTCTCTGCAGCGTGAACCTGAAGTACTTTGCAAGGGATTGTGGTCTGGGGAGCGCGAGTTTGGCGTATTTGCAAAGCATAGTGGCCTCGGGTACGCAAAGCTGGTGTACTTTACAACGGGTTATGGCGTCGGGAGCGCGAATCTGCTGGCAGCCCAAGGGATTCTGGGACTCTCCAGTGTTACACCCGTGGAATCAGACGGCTGAACACATATCATTTTGACTCGGGCACTGCAGGTGTTGCGGGGATCTGGAACACCGACGTCTGGCAACCTGATGGCCTTACAAGAGCCGGTGGACCTCGTAGATGCTTGATATGTTTATGTCTATGTATGTATGTATGTTTGTTTGTATGTATGCATGCACACATGTATGTATGTATGCATGCATGTATGAATGAATGTATGTGTACATGTACGTATGAATGCATGCACGTACGCATGTACACATGCATGTATGTCTGTTTGTTCTGTATGTATGTATACATGTATGTATGGATGTGTGTATGTATGTATGCATGCATACATTTATGTATGTCTATATGCATGCATGCATGTATGCAGTGTTATTTATCTTGTATGTGTATGTCTATATGTGCATGCATGCATGCATGCATACATCTCTGTATGTACGTGTGTCTGTATGTCTGCCTGTCTGTCTGTCTGATTACCTGTCTGTCTGTCTGTCGGTCTGTATATATGTAGGAATGTTTGTGTGTATATGTGTAGATACGTATATATGTATTCATGTATGCATACATACGTGAATGAATGTATGCATGTATGTATGCGTGTATGCTTGTACATATATACATACATATGAGTGTAGGTATGCATGCATGTAACTATGTAATTATGTATGCATGTATATATACATGTGTGCGGGTATGCATGCATGCATGCATGTATGCATGTTTGTATGTATGTGTATGTGTATGTATGTATGTATGTATGTATGTATGTATGTATGTATGTATGTATGTATATGTATGTATGTATGTATGTATGTATACATGCATGCATGTATGTATGTATGTATGTCTGTACTTGGCTCCAACAGAAGTTTCCTTGAAAACTCGCAAGAATAATAATATGTATGTAAACCCGTCGGCAAGATGAAAAGTCGCGCGCGCGTGCTCAGCGTTCGCACGCACGCGATCCCAAGACGTCCCATGGCCACAACATGCTTCCAGGAATGCCTCAGGCCACGGACGATAACGTCCAGAGGACCCAGGATGATGCCACCCCAACGCGATCCCGCCATGGATTCTGGACCGTGTCAGGCCGACTCGCAGATGACGCAACACATGAGCAACGCGTGACGCCGAGATGGCCCGATGGCAACAAGATGGATCCAAGCGCACCCAGGGTGGCCTCATAATGATCACGCGATGGTTGCGTGATCCAAACATGACCGGGATATGATCTCAAGATGACCTGAAGACGACCCCAACACGGCAATAATACTGCAACTTATGAGCCCCATCTTACTTCGAGCCGATCCCAGCATGGTGGGATCCGTGAACGACCCGGGATTTTGGTCTACCCCATTTTTAATGGGTGGGATTTTGATCGTCCTGAACTAAACTTATAATATTAAAGCGGAATAAGCCAGGCGGGATCCCGCCCGGCCCACGGAGGAAGACAACATTGCTAGGCTTCTACGGGGGGTAGGGGGTTCGGAAGGGGCGTCGTTAAATTCCGCTGACATTGGCAAGCCTTCCAGCGGCCTTCCCCCGTCTTCCGCCTCGTTTTACTTCCGTCGACTTCCGCGGGCCAGCGTCGTGATGAAAATTCAAGGAACTTTCAATGGGCCGATGTATGCATGTATGTATGTATGTATGTATGTATGTGTGTATGTTTGTATGTATGTATGCATGTATGTACGTATACATCTATGTATGCATGCCTGTATGTATGTACGTACGTATCTATACACATACTTGTATCTACATGGAGAGGTAACTGTATAACAAGAGAAAGTGAGAGAAATAGCGAGAGAGAGAGAGAGACGGGGGATCTTTATATCAATCTGTACTTGTGCCTTGCACGTGCGGCCACTGGGAGGGGAACCGTGGCCGTGGCCGCCTGCGCGTTGGGGACATCACGAGAGTCACTGCGCGCTCCGCGCGCGTCTGCGGGGGAAGGGCGGGGTGGGGGTGGGAGGGGGGCCGGCAAGAGGCCGGGAGGCACTCGTGGTCCGAGGAGGCCGCCTTCCCTCCTCCCCCCTCCGCGGCTGCCCTGCCCCTCCGCTTCTCGCGTGCCGCGGCGTGCACGCTCAATTTGCTGCGCCGTGGCCCCGTGCTGCGCGACCGACCCGCGCGAGCGCCAGGTCCGCGACAAACAGCTGCTGCGGGGGGGGGGGATTGGCGCGAGGGGGGTTTGCGGGCGGACCGGTGGAGCGCGACGGGGGCGGAAGGCCGCAGCGCGGGGGCGGAGGGGTGCCCGCGGGAGGGCGGCGGCCTGGGCGGACGTCGAGGCCCCGAGGCTCGCTGAGGTCGAGCCTCTGCGCCCTCCTCGGGTCGCCGCGTCCGGCCCCCGCCCCCCCCCCCCTCTCCCGAGATTCTTTGCCAGAGCCCCCTCTTGGGCTTGACCGGGCTCGCTCGGGGAAGCGCAAGCACGGATCAGGGCGCGCGGAGTAGCGACAGGTCCCGTTTCCGTGCAACATCGGCGCGCTCCGTGGCCAGATCAGGCGGTTTTGGCCTCACGTCTCAGGGGGGCACCTTCCCCGATCCGAGCTTGTGCTTCAGACCCGCGCAGAAAAGACCACTCGGATGCGTCATCCCTTCAGCCGTCGTCGTTGACGTTTCTCATGCTTGCCACGTGCTCTTTCTTTGAAACTGTTAGCCCCACCATCTGTGCAGCAGTGCCGGATACCGCCGCCTCTGCAATGGCGTCGGGGTCGGCCCTGCAGCGCACCATGCGTCATCGCTTCCGTTGGACCGCCGATTTCTCGGCCGATCCGTGGACCTGGCGCCCGCGCGCCAGAGCCGCGCACCCGCAGCCCATGCCGGCGGGTGCCCGATCCGTGGGGTCGGCCTGGCGCCCCTCGAGGACGAAGGCCGAGAGGCAGCGAGGCCGCTCGCGGGCCGTGGCAGCGGCGGCGGCCCCGGCCCCCGCGGTGCCCCCCGGCGCCCGCAGATTCGTCCATTCCAGCGGCGACATCTACGAGGCGCCTCCGCTCGAGGGGGGGCCGCCCGGGGTGGTCCTGCCGCTGCCGCTGCCGCTGCCGCGCGCGCCGCGGCCGCGCCGCTGGCGAGCGCAACGCGGCGCGAACCCTTCCGCGTGCTCCTGTCTCCTCCCCCCGCTGCCTCCCCCGTGCTGACGTGGGGGGGGGGCTTCCTCACCCGCGCCACGGGGGGGGGGGCATGGCCCCTCGGACTGGAGCCTCTGGCGCGACACGGCCAACAGACCAGACTCGTTTGGAGCCAGTACTCGGCCACCACAATACAGTGCCGTTTCTAATACATGCTCCGCGTGCGGATCATGTATAAACAATGCATGGATGTAGTAATAAAAGTAACGATGAGTTCATGCATATTTTTTCCTTATTAATCATGTATTAAACATCCGATATATTCTAAGAAAACCCACGCATGAAAAACTGCCCTGTAGCTATGAAGTGGGTGGGCGCGATGTCTGGAGTCGCTCAGAGACGCTGTCTTGCCCTCCCCCCCCTGTGCCTCCGCTGCCGCGCCCGCCCCACTCCGGGCCGCCCGGGTCCGCCCCCTCGTCCCCAGCTGCCGCCCGTCGCCGCCTCCGTCGTGGCGGCGGGCCCCCGCGCTCGCCCCGCACTGCGTCCTCGAGCCGTCTCTCCCTCCCTCTTCCCCCCCCCCCTTCTTCCCTCGTGTGCTGCTGCTGCTGTTGCCTGGCAAGGAGTCACGGAGTGCGCACGCGCGAAGCCCCTCGGCTAACAACAACCCCCCTTCTTCCGCGCCGTCCTCGCCCCCCGTCTCCTCCTGCCAGTCGCCGCTGCCGCGGCTCCTGGTTCAGCGCCCTCCCTCCTGCCCGCCTCTCCTGCTCCTGCTCCGTCCCCCGTCCTCCCTTTCTCCTCCCTTTCTCCTCCTCCTCCTCCTCCTCCTCACCCTCCTCCTCTTCCTCCTCACCCTCCTCCTCCTCCTCCTCCTCCTCCTCCTCCTCCTCCATCCGTCTTCCTTCGTAGCCATTTTTGGTTCAGGATGCCTGTTTCCGCGGAAGCAAAGTGGATACCGCTGATTCCACGGCCAGCTTTCAATGTCTTGTGAGCGCCTGCAGGAGCAAGTCCCGCCTCCCGCAGACTGTCTGGTGGGTAAACGGTAGACCTTCACGTTCCTGTCAGGCTAGCTGCACACATGTCTGCGAATGATGCCGGAAATAAGAAGGCCAACAAGAATTTTGGGGGCACCGATCGGATCGGCCTGGCGGTCATGTTCGTGATGGCTCTCGGTCCGCTGCTCCTGATGCGCGGGAGGACGACAGGTCCCGCTCCAGTCGTGCCAACAGCGACGATGAGGATAGAATTAATCCAGCTGGGTTGGACACAGATCAAGCACGCATCGACTTACAATTTGAGGCCGAGTTGAAATGATTCAAGATGGATCTCACAGAGATGTCTCAGTCAATGCAAACACGGCAGCTGGACGAGCCAGCGACCATGTCATGGCGGCGATCGAGGCTTTGGAGAATGCGGTCCAAACAGCCAAGCACGTTCAAAGCTCAAGTGGAAGCGTCGTTCAGGCCAGAGATTGATGCGCTCGGGAAGCGGTTTCAGGCTCAGCTTAACACCCTCTCTGCGACAGTGGAAGTTATTGGTGGACGTACCAACAACATTGCAGCTGAACTGGCAGAGATGCGATCCTCCTTGGACGAAGTGCGGCGTGAATGGGCACTTGCATATCGGGCGCTTCCTCCTTCTAAACGACCTAGTGTTGGTCTGGTTTCCAGCGCGATGTTGGCGGCACCGTCCTCAAGATGGTGGCGCCCGTGATCGTCAAGAAAGTTGATGTGGCCTCTTCTGTTGACACGTGGCTCCAAGATGCGGATGTTGACGGTGGCAGCTCGTCGGCGAAGATCTCGAGCGCATCTTCACGGTTCAATTTGCTGGAGCAGTGGCAATCGCTGGTCGGCGTGTCGCCCAAGCGCTGGGTGCCCCTCGTCTGTGGATGCGCTTTTGTGCCCCTGCTGCGTCCGGTGGTACTAGTCAGATACATGTGGGCCCCGACAAAAGTCCGTTCCAGATCAAATTCAAGTTCGCTGGCTAAACAAATGGTGTGGCTGGTCTTCGTGACCAATACTTGGGTGCCAAGCTCTGATTCGATCGTTAGAGCGGCTGGGCCACGGAGACTTGGAGCCCGATTCTTCGCTGGAAGCGGCAAGCTGGTCGTGATTTTATTTTTCCTATTTGCACGATGCTGCTCCCGCGTCCCGCGGTTGGACTGGTGCTGATGTGCCGCGCTGCTTCGAGCGCATCTTCGCGCCCAGCGCTGCACCAGAGTGGTCTCTTGAGCCCATTCGACGACATCTTTGTGAAGGCTGCGCAAGGTGGGGGGGGGGGGCCCAAACCCGAGGAGCTTGCGTTCGCCTGATGGAATGCGATGGCGCTGCTTCGGTGGACGGGGGCGCAGGCCATGGCGAAGGCGTCGTGCTTCCAGACAGCTGGGATGGCAGGTTCGGTGTTTTCGATTCAGGAGGTCCACCAAACGCTTGGTGGGGTCCAGCTATGCATGCGCAAAGCGGCGCCTTCCTTTGTTGTCTTCGGCTCTTGCGATTTTGACCGTGATGGACGTGCTCGCGGCGGCGTGGCGACCGTGGCCCAGTTATCCATGTCCTTTTCCTCGTCTGCTACGTTGTCTCCCCTGTTCGGGGGGAGAGTGCTCAAGACGGTCTTGCATGGCGAGCAACAGGAGTATGGCGCTATAATATCCACCACCATGATCTGTCAGGTGCCGATGTGGCGAAAATTGCTACTGAAATGAAGCTGGACTTGGCGTGGGCTCGAAGTGATCCAAGGACGAGGCTTGTGGTGGTTTGTGGACAGTTCATTTTCGCCTTCCATGCTCCATTCCAGCAACAATGCGTGCGCGCACGTGCAATAATTGATGGCGACGCTAAGCCCTATGCTTGAGATTGCGACTTAAGAGGCCGCCCGCTTCTGCACAGAAATTCATACCTTGGCGCAGTTGGACAGTGTGTGGCTTTCGGAGCCTGACTGGGTTACCTGTCTACTCCAACTACGGTGGTATCCGCTTCCGACGATCTGTCCGCCCAGGATATATCCGACCGCGCTGCTAGTCGGGTTCGCGTACAAAACCGGCCAGCGGATGCACCCTATTACAGGTCAGCACCGTCCATGGTCTGCAAGCGCGAGCAGTTTCGCACTTGTTTGGGTGCGTTCTTGCGACGGGATGAACCTGCTGCCATGTCTCATCCGCGTCAGCTTGAACGGTGGGAGGGCCTCACTGATGGTGCGGCGTACGACGCTCTCCAGCAGCTCCTCGTGGACGCCCCTCGTAATACCTCTGCCCGTCAGGTCTTCGCGCGACGCATGGCTCGTGCGATGGGGCGACACAACGCGTCTCTGGCGCGACAGGTTTGCAGTGCATCGGAATCTGCGCGTTCGTGTGTGGATGTGGACCTTACTTCGTGTGGGATTCGTTTCGTCGCTCCATCGGCATCCCAAGCTGGGGTGGAGATTGTGCAACGTGCGGCTGCTGATCAAGAGTTGGAGGGCCTTCGCCGCGCGGCCTTTCTGGCCCGCGGGCGCGCGATGCCGTCGGCGCGCGCTATTTCGGCGAATCCAAGGTACACTTGCGAAGGGATGACGTTTTGAGCGATGAAGGTCAACGACGTCACCCGCGCCCGCTCCCTGGGCGAGCTCGACGCTCGGGCCCGCTACTGGGCGCCGAAATCGGCCCGCCCGCCGTCATTCCCGAGACGCGCGGAGCGCTGCGTCGAGAGGTTCATCTTCCCGTGATCGTGCGACCACACGGTGCCGTCGTCTCACGCTCTGCTATCGCGTGGGTTGTCTCGGCTTGCTCACTCGCAGTCCGTTCCGAGTGTCCATGGGCTCGCGTGCTCTGCCCGGGCTGCCCGCCCCCGCGGGGCTCGTGCGTTGTGGGGCGCGCGCGCGCGTCTGGTTTATGGATGGGCAGCACCTCGGCGCTGCGGCGGGAGCTGCCGCGCAGGCTTTCCAATCCAGGGGCTGCCGGGCTAGCGGCGACGACGAAGTGGGGGTCACGCGCGCACCAGGCGCCGTCGGGGCTCTGGGACTGCGCAGCGCGGACATGCAGATCCGTTCGGCTACATTCAACGCAGGCTTCGTTCCAATCGTTCGGCAGACTACCTCGGCCACTCAGCGGTGCTTTGATGCTGGGCGGCAGATCGCATCCAACATCCTTGAGCTGGGCGTGGTTGCCAGGTCAGCGTGGCCCATGCCCGAGGTTGTGTCCCGGCAGTCGATCCCTGTGGCGCTGGATTGCTGTCGGGCATTCCCCGGTCGCAGCCAGGAGTGCCTCTTCGCGGTTCTCGACGGGCTGCGCTTGCCGTCTGCTTTCTTGGCGGCAATTCGGTCGCTCTGCGCCGTCGTCATTGTTGTTGGGCGTGCTGGCGGGGTTGCTGAGGATTTATTTCGCACCCTCGGTGGGGCCAGTCAGGGGCGCGCGCTATCAGGCTGCTCATCTCCTGTCGTGACTTCGCCATTCCCGGAAGACCTTCGCCTAGAGCTCGAATGCAGTGGTGGAGGTGTCAGTCGGGCATTTGCGGACGATATCAGGAGGGAGTTATTCGAGAAGATAGGCGCGCGCTTTCTCGCGAAGGTTGCGGTCGTGGCGGAGAGGGTCGCGAATCTGAGGCTCGCGCCGCCGGAGTGCATCCTGATTCCTCTCCAGGGGGTGCTCGGGCCGCCGATCCACTGTCAAATCCAGTCGTTCCTTCGCGAGGTCATCCCGGCCTGGTCGGACTTCGAGGTTGGGGGATCGGCTTTTGTGCCTGGGCGTGTTGCCCGGCCCTGCAGCTGCCATCCCGCAGTCTTGGGCGCCCCCCGGGGCGAATCGCAAGATGTGGGTGGCGGCCCGTCGCGGCCTCCTCCGCGCCGACGTCCCTGAGCGCCTTGCACTGCCTCGCCCGTGCGCTTCCTACGACGGGGCACGTGGCGCAGATCCTCCCGTTGCCGACCCGGATCCCGCGCTTCGACAT